GGACACTGGGGACACTGGGGACACTGGGGACATTGGGGACACTGGGGACACCGGGGACACCGGGGACACTGGGGACACTGGGGACACTGGGGACATTGGGGACATTGGGGACAGCTGGGGACACACCTGGGACTCCTGGGGACATTTTGGGGACACTTTGGGGACACCCTGGGGACAGCTGGGGATACCCCTGGGGACAGTTGGGGACACTCTGGGGACACCCTGGGACATTCTGGGGACACTGGGGACACTGGGGACACTGGGGACATTGGGGACACTGGGGACACACCTGGGACTCCTGGGGACATTTTGGGGACACTTTGGGGACACCCTGGGGACAGCTGGGGACACTCTGGGGACACTTTGGGGACACACTTGGGGACACTTTGGGGACAGCTGGGGACACTGAGGCCGTGCCAGCCCTGGGGACACCGGGAGGGGGGTGGGCACCTGTGGGGAGAGGGGACAGGAGGGGACATCACCGAGCCGGGTGTCACCGCAGGGGAGGAGGGCGGCACCCATGGGTGACACCCCCAAAGTGACACCCCATGGGTGACACCCTCATCAGTGTCACCCCAAAAGTGACACCCCATGGTGACACCCCCATGGTGACACCCCAAATGTGACACCTCCATGGGTGACTCCCCATGGGTGACACCCCAGAAGTGGCACCCATGGGTGACACCCCTGTCCCCGTCTGCCCCCCAGGTCGGCTCCTGGATCGGTTTCACCATCATGACCCAGTGCCTGCCCGGTGAGGGGACATTGGGGACATTGGGGACATTGGGGACATTGGGGACATTGGGGACACCGGATTTTGGGGGGATTCTGGGGGGATTTTGGATGGATTTGGGGTGATTTTGGTTGGATTTTCTGGGGATTTGGGGTGGATTTTGGGGGGATTTGGGTGGATTTTGGGGGGATTTGGGTGGATTTTGGGTAGATTTGGGGGGGATTTTGGGATTTGGGTGGAATTTGGGGGGATTTCAGGTGGTTTAGGTGGATTTGGGGTGAATTTAGGAGTAATTTGGGTGGATTTTGGGAGGAGTTCACTTGGATTTGGGGTGGATTTGGGGTGGATTTTGGGGGGATTTCAAGTAGAGTTTTGGGGATTCAGGTGGATTTGGGGTGGATTTTAGGAGAAATTAGGGGTGATTTAGAATGGATTTTGGGGTCATTTGGGGTGGATTTTGGGGGGATTTGGGTGGATTTTGGGATTTTGGGGTGATTTGGGGTGGATTTTGGGGTGGATTTGGGTGAATTTAGGGGTGATTTGGGGTGAATTTTCGGGGGATTTTTGGTCTCCCCGCCGTGTCCCTGCTGTCCCTGTTGTGTCCCCACTGTCCCCTGAGTGCCACCGTGTCCCGCAGTGGCACTGTCCCCATTTTGTCCCCGCTGTCCTGAGTGCCACCCTGTCCCGCAGTGGCACTGTCTCTGCCGTGTCCCCATTTTGTCCCCGCTGTCCTCTGAGTGCCACCCTGTCCCGCAGTGGCACTGTCCCC